ACCACCTCCTCAGCCACCACCGCCGCCACCGCGACCACCACCGCCGCCGCCACGACCACCACCACCGCCGCCGCGACCACCGCCGCCACCTCCGCGGCCACCACCTACTTGACGTTTCCACCATTCAGGTACACTTCGAGGCACAACAGTTGAGGTTGCTGTTGGGATCGGAGAAGGCGAACGTTGAGCACCGGCTTTGCCTGGACGTGGTGGTAGTGACCTGGGTGCGGGACCAGCTCCTATATCTGGAGGTTAGAACTAGTTCCCGTTTCGAGGAAGAGGGATAGTCGAATCGTTGTGGAGGTACTCACGCTGCCTTGGTGCCAAACCAATGTCTTGACAAGCAAAGGGGGGCTTTCCATGGCCCTGCAGGAAGATTGATCCATCGTCACTCTGGCAAAAGACCGCTTGGCTGCCCTCGCCGTAGGAGATGCCTCCACCCTGGACGTGAAGCCAGCCGTCCTCACCGTGGAAGAAGCCGTAGTCCTCCTCGCTGGGACGCTCGTCGAGCTTGACCACCGCATACCCGTTGCTGAAGTCCAGATGCACAAATTTGTCGTCCACCCCGAGTTGTCCTCCCCATATCCAGAAGCGGGCGGCGTCGGACTTTGACTCGGTGAGATAGCCGTCGTTGCCGGTGAACGAAACGAAGCTGGGCGTGCTCTTGTGGTATTTTTGGTTAACTCCGAACGACTGTAGATGGTACCAGGTGTTGTTGGCACTGTCGGACTCGAACGGCGAGCTTTCCCCTTGAGGGAGAGCTGCTGAGATCGCCCCGGACGGGTACGACGACAAAGCGCCCAGAAGGCTGACCGCGAGGCCAGCGTTCAGGCTGAAGAGGACCATGATTCTGGTTCACGGTCAAGTCACTCTCTCTCTGTTGTTGATGTGGTACTGTCAAATATCGAGAGTATTGAGTAAACAAAGGACCCTTTGAGCCGATTTTCGGAGGGTCTAGACAGAAGGGAGGCAGGGGAGGAGTGGGAAACAAAGACAAAAGAGCGTTGCGTTGTTGGGGGGAAAGGAAAAAAAAATAACGATGTTAACGAGTGTAACGAACGACTGTTCTTAAGGGTGATTAAGTATTCCCGCAAAAACCCCCAGCCAACAATAAAGGAATGTCGTTGTGCACACACACACACACAAAGTCGAATACTTTTTTTTTTGGTTTACAAGGAGGCTGGGCTGTGGTTAAGTAGTCTGTGCTAGCCATGAGACGGCAGCATACAAGGCGCAATTTCCAAGAGGGCTCACTAGTTCAAATTGCCTATCGCGACCCGAGTATGTGGCCCAGATGGGGAACCGAGAGCAAAGGTCCAAGAGCTCATCTCACTCTGTGACTCGCCGAGCCGTCGCCGAGGGGTTGGAGGGCCACAACAACAGAAGTCGAACCATTGAAAAGGAAGATCGTACGCGGAACTCACGCGACCGCAAATCAAACGCGGGCTCAGTGAGGGAATATCAAACGTGATCGCAGTGCCCGATCCGGTAAGGCAATTTCATATAATTGTGGGGCCACTCGAGAAGGCTGGGCCCACGGCCACTATTGGGGGGAGGGGCACCTGTATACCGAGAACCCCAGGTTTGATTTCGAAATAGAGTTTGGATGCGGCTCACCACTTCCCACCCAGGGCTGATTTGAGTCTTTGTGGGAACAGGTCCAATCATCCTGTGCTGGTCTCCATGTCACCCTGTCGAATGGTTTCGCAGGGACTTATCTAGAATGGGGATTTTGGGTCGAACTCGTGGCCGCCATCGCGCGGAAATGTTTTCCTCCCTCGTATTTCTTTTTGTTTCACCATAGACCAATGCTGTTATGCGCGCATATGTAGAGGAGACAAATGCGCCATGGCCATAGACACAGACACTTGATGCTGAATGCGGCATACGCGCAAGAGATATCAAGACTCCCCAGCCATCTGAACAAGGCTGCACTCGTCTTCAGTAGTCAGTCGCGCGCCCTTGGAGATAGATGAAGAGGTTTCCAGGCTAAGGATCCCTGCCACACGAAGCAGATCAGATCACTATCGTTAACCTTTTCTCTTTGGTCCCGAGAACGCCTCGCTCTGGGTCGACTCTCCTAGAAGGGTAAAGGATCACGGGTAGAGTCGATCCCATTATTGGGTGTCACGCCTTGGGTCGGAGCTAGAGTCGTCCAGAGTCAATTGCTCGCGTGATGAGCTTCCCAAAACAAAGCCTTGGAGGGGACCATCCAAATCATGTTAGGGTTCCAGCCACGGGAATCACCACCCAAGCGTGCAAAGGCAACCCAAACCCAGGCTTCACCAGGGCCAGCGAAGCGGCACAAGCTGAACTCTCGCTTGGCATGGCTTGCCCTGGAGGAGGCGGGATCTACACAGATCGGCGCAGGTCATCACAAGCCACCACGCCATTCCCTCCGGTACGAAGAACTGGCTTTTGGATCTTGGCGGGCCGTTCCGTTGTTTGCGGACCTGCAGCGCCACCTAAAACGTAGACACATATGCTGTGTAACAGAGGGAGAATTTCTGAGCGACAACGACATAATCACCGACATTCATCCTCGGGGCTTTGTCCTCATGTCTTCAACGTCTCGTGACTTTGGGGAAGGGAAAATGCGCAGAGACTGCTCTGGTATCTATTCCTTCCTGGTGTCGCAAATGGTCATGGTCTGGCGAGGCTTGTTGGCTCAGTACAGGCTCAGAGATCTTGTCTTGTGCTCTTGCGCAAAGTTTTATCGCCTCGATCTTGCCGCACTTCCTGCCGTCTGTCCATCTAAGGCCTAGTCCCTTCACTTTTCTTCAGCCATTCCTTTTTTTTTCTAACAAGCAGTCCAAAACTCTTGCGACGAACACACCAGTTGGCTTGTCTAGATTGCTTACGAAGATCGCTGCATCCATTGCGCGGCACGAACGGTTGGCGACGATAGTTTGAGCAACCAAACTTAACAGCCGCGGCTGGGAAAACTTTACTCAGTCATGCGGTGAAATAGACTGTAGATTCAGCCTCTCACATGTCCAAGTACCGATGATTGGTCCGAGAGCACGCGACCATGTTGATTGTTATCATTATCAGCATTCACTTCATACCTGTTCCACATGGAGTCCAACGACCAAGATACGACCAAGACTGGAAGATCATGCCAGCGGCTCCAACATTTCACGTCAAGACCCTGTTTTTTTTCGTGAACAAATCTGCCATCTGCCCCTCTAATCACCTGCCCCTGACCTGTAACAACTAGAGTCCAACCACCTGCATTCTCGTGAAGATCCTTGCAGCTTGAAGTTATGTCTCAGTTCATCAAACATGGTACAGTCCCACCAGCTTTTTTGACTGCCTCGAGCAAACACGGTCGGTCTTCCACGAGGAGGCGCAGACGCAAATCAGGACAGCAAGTGGTTCGAGGAAGCTGCGGATCAAATCTTGATAACCAAAGGCAATCTGCATCGTTGTCGTCGGCCGTGAGATCGACGAGTATCCGAGTTTGCTCGCAATCTTCGTGTAGGTTTCCAGCTCTGGTTCAAACCAATCGTTGACGTTGTCGATGGTCTTATCGAAGGAAACAACATGGAGGGCCTGACAGCTGAAGAACTGACAATAGCTCAATGGTGAGTTATTATTGCAATTCAAGGAGCCCCAAGTCCCATAACAGCGCAGTGTGCCGAAGAATCCCAATACGTGGGCTCCGCGGCCAAACCAAGACTGGATCCCAGCTTCTCAGATGCCGTGAAAAGTGGCACAGAAGGGCTTGAGAAGAGGCACGGAATTGGGACCCAGTTTGGCAAGACGAGGTCAACATTCTATTCCGCTGTGCTCATTTTCCAGTCTCCGCTATACCCATCAGCTCGATGCACGGCATGTCTCGAATCTCTTTCATTTCTCAGTGCGCTCTGGCGTATCCAGATTCTTTTCTTCTCTAGGCTCTCTCCACTCAAAGTCATGTCTCTTGAGGATGTGATTTCGGATCTTCCGTGCGAGCAGATACCAAACTGAGTGACTCGATTGACGTTTTGTTGTTGTCATCAATCTCAAATCGGACGTCTGCACCATTCCACGGTCTGAGGTCTGAGCAGGAGCCAAGCACAGACACTCCATCCCAGCGCTAGTCCGGGACAAGATGATCACTCTCTCCAAGGAGAAATCACATTGCTAGACAGTCCGGACAAGTCCGCCAGGGAGTGGGTGTTGTTGCGACCCATAGCGCAGGCCAGGCTGGCAAGGGAGAAGTAGGGACGATAGTCGCCCGGCCATGCTTAGCGCTGCTGAGACATCAAATTGAGGTCAGCGGGTGCTTGGACAAACAGAAGATGGTGAAGGCGAGAAACAGAAAGGCAAGGCCAGTGACTTGTTGACGACTAGCAACAGGCGCTGAAAGTCTCCGTCAAGACAGATTTATAGGAGCTTCGCGGGCAGTCGCTGTCTGCGGTGAGTATTTCGAGGCTGGACTTCCGAGCACTCTAGCAAAAACCACAGGAGCTGAGGGAAGGGGAGCGACAGCTTGAGAGACTGCGGGCAGGAGCGAAGCCCGAGAAAGCAGCCCTTGAAAATTCACTAATATGCTCTGCCGGGTCGTGAGACGAGGGTTCCTTTGCACCGATGGGGACCTTTGGGGACAGTTTTGAGGGAAGATGGAGCTAGAGACAACGCAGAAGAGCAGAATCTGGGTGGTTCACCAGCTATCTCGAGCAAACAGAGGATGTTGAGGGGTTTAAAGTGACCACATCTCTCAGAGCGAACACTTGGGAGGCCTGCAGCTTCGGCGACTTCTGCAGTCTATCCTTCGAGTATCAACGTCCCCTTGAATGGAACGTGCAAAAGTAGGGGGATCAGGCGCCGGCAAAGCAGGATGGGGAGCTCAACGCTGGAGCGTCTTCGAAAGACAAACTTCGATGCTGATTCATGATATTACACAATACAAGTCCATTGGCATGGGTTTGCTGCTGTGCTGGAGTCTCAATGTGCTAATGTCTCGGCCGATGTTGGTGCAGGTGCAGCATGTCGACGCTGGTTGGTTAGGATTGTTCGAAGGGTCAGGGATAAAGATGAGGCGCAGGCAGATCAGGCAAACATGGAGAAAATGTACCAATCCCCAGCCTCATATCACGTGATTCAGCTAGTAGCCCAATTGCAACTCGACTCAGCCTCAAGCAACGTCTCGAGGGTTTGTCAGTGACCCGTACCGATACTTTGTATCTACAGTCAATTGCAACTTTTTTTCCTCTCAATGTCTGCCAATATATAGCCGCTCTCAGACCTCTCCACCATCCTCCACCAGCCACAAGCCTCCACTTCTCTCTCTCATCACAAACGGGATCTCCTTCTTACCGTTGACGGTGGGCTCATCTCCGACGGAGTTTGTGTGGGGGTGTTATGGGTCCCAAGAAAGAGAAGAGCAGTTTGAAGCGGAATCGGGTGAGGCTATAATGTGGTGTTTTGTCGCCGTCGCATCTGACTGTCAAACAGCACAGCACCGGTGAAGACCAGGAGATCAAGAAACCGCGGAGATCCCAACGGCTCTCTTCGCAGTCTCAACAAGATCACCAGCACACGCCTGTCAAGAACCAATATCTGCCTTCTCCTCTGACGTACCAGGAGTCTACTGCCACCGAAACATTCAAGGAACACACTGCTACTCCTCCGGAAGGCCGACCGAGTCAGATCCGTCATGTCACGCCTGCAGCGTCGCCACCACTTCTTCCACAATCCTCACCTCCTCAAGACACTCAGTCTCTATCCCAGTTCGTCTATCCTCCGCGAGATATCGAGCCTGACTTGAATGATGAAGATGGAACATGGGGTTACCTGTTTCCAATGACCGAGAATGGACACAGACTGCAGATGAAGCGACGAGCCTTTTGTCCTGCTCC